TTGGAATTTTAAATTTTTACATGGGGATTGCAAAAGATGTTTGTAAAGATGCTTTCAATTATTTTTCATGTTATGGCTTGTTAGTTTAAAATAATGAGCACTGCCTAGAACTGCCTCTTATGACAGGTGGGGATTTAATCACAAATGCAATTTTGAAGGAACCATAGTCTTCAGAAGAGCATTTTCTGATGATTTATTTCACAGTGCTTTGCATATAGTCGACACTCAGTGAATATGTTGCATTAAAATACTAGTTTCCAAACCTGGAAAGACTTACATGAATGGAACCAGGAAAACATTGTATATAGTAACAGCAATATTATATGATGATCAAATGTGATGACTTAGCTATTCTCAGCAGTACAATGATCCAAGACAATTCTGAAAGACTTATGATGAAAAATGCCATCCATCCCCAGAGAAAGAACTGATGGAGTCTGAATGCAGATTGAAGCATACTTTTTCTTTATTTTTCTTGTTTGTTTTGGAGGGGTAGGGGTCTGTGTTTCCTTTCACAACATGACTAATGTGGAAATATGTTTTGTATGACTGCACATGTATAATGTATATCAAATTACTTGCCTTCTCAATGAAGGAGGGAGGGAAAGAATTTGAAATAAAAAATTTAAAACAAATGTTGGGGGGGGCGGAGCCAAGATGGTAGGGTAAAAGCAGTTACTTGCTTGAGATCTCCCCTAAACCCCTTCAAATACCTATAAAAAATGGCTCTAAACAAATTCTAAAGCAGCAGAACTCACAAAAAGACAGAGTGAAACAAATTTCCAGCCCAAGACAACCTAGATGATTGATCAGAAAGGTATATCATGCCAGGCTGGGAGAGGAACACAGTTCAGGTGAGTGCGCAGGCAAAACAGGCCACAGGGAACCTGGAGCAGGCCTCAGATGACTGAATCATGGGCAGCTGTGGCAGTTTCCAGACTTCTCAACCTATGAACACCAAAGACAACTTAGGTCAATAGGAAAAGTCTGTGACTGTGGTGAGAGAGAAGCTCGGTCCCAGCCCCAGTTCTGGCTATAGCCCCAAAGTGGCTGCTTCCAGATATTCCAGCCCACAGACTGAGGGGGAATCAAGTAGCTGATCAGAGGGATATTGCAGAGTTCTCTTTGCTGGTACAGGATTCTCTTGCTTTGGATGCGGGTTTGGATCTGGGTCATAGTTCTGGGTGGCGGTCCTGGGGCAAGGAGGAGTGCTGGCATGGGGGAGCTTGTAGTGGCTGTGGAGAGAAAATCCTCCTCACAATTCCAAGGCAGAAAAGAGTGCTTGTGTTCACTTACAGACCAGGGCGCAGACCAGGAAAGGAGTAAACATCTCTCCCTTTATCATACCACCTTGGAAGAACTGAAAATTTACAGGTCCCTACAAGTATCTCTGAAAATAGCTGTATAAACCCCCGAAGCTTGGGACAGTACACTCTCCACATTGGAAGCAGACTTTTTACCTTAACAAGGAGTTTAAAACTCAAGTAATTGGCTGGGATCATGAGCAAGCAGCACAAAAAGAGTCAGACTATATTATCTTACTTTGGTGAAAAAGAAAATCAAAATATACAACCAGAAGAAGACAACAAAATCAAAGCTCCTACATCCAAAGCCTCCAAGAAAAATATGAATCAGTCCCAGGCCTTGGAAGAGCTCAAAAGGGATTTTGAGAAGCAAGTAAGGGAAGTAGAGGAAAAACTGGGAAGAGAAATGAGAGTGATGCAAGAAAATCATGAAAAACAAGTCAACAGCTTGCTAAAGGAGACCCAAAAAATACTGAAGAAAATAACACCTTAAAAAACAGCCTAACCCAAATGGCAAAAGAGGTCCAAAAAGCCAATGAGGAGAGAATGCCCTAAAAAGAAAAATTGGCCAAATGGAAAAGGAAGTCCAAAAGATTACTGAAGAAAACACTTCTTTAAAAATTAGAATAGAGCAATTGGAAGCAGTGACTTTATGAGAAATCAAGACACTGTAAAACAAATCCAAAAGAATGAAAAATTAGAAAACAATGTGAAATATCTCATTGGAAAAACAACTGACCTGGAAAATAGATCCAGGAGAGAGAATTTAAAAATTATTGGACTATCTGAAAGCCATGATCAAAAAAAGAGCCTAGACATCATCTTTCAAGAAATTATCAAGGAAAACTGCCCTGATATTTTAGAACCAGAGGGCAAAATAGAAATTGAAAGAATCCACAGATCTCCTCCTGAAAGAGATCCCCAAAGGAAAACTCCTAGGAATATTGTAGCCAAATTCCAGAGTTCCCAGGTCAAGGAGAAAATATTACAAGCTGCCAGAAAAACCATTCAAGTACTGTGGAAAACAATCAGGATAACACAAGATTTAGCAGCTTCTATTAAAGGACCACAGGGCATGGAATATAATATTCCAGGAGGGCAAAGGAGATAGGATTACAACCAAGAATCACCTACCCAGCAAAACTGAGTATAATCCTTCAGGGAAAAAATGGTCATTCAGTGAAATAGAGGACTTTCAAGCATTCCTGATGAAAAGACCAGAGCTAAACAGAAAATTTGACTTTCAAATACAGGACTCCAGTGGAACATGAAGAGGTAAACAGGAAAGAGAAATCATAAGAGACTTATTAAGATTGAACTGTTTACATTCCTGCATGGAAAGATGATATTTGTAACTCATGAGACTTTGTCAGTATTAGGGTAGTTGAAGGAAAAAAATTGTATGTATGTATATATAGATAGATAGAGGGCACAGGGTGAGTTGAAGATTAAGGGGTCATATCTGGAGAATAAAATTAAGGGATGAGAGAGGATGATACTCAGAGAAGAAAGGGAGAGGTAGAATGGGGTAAATTATCTCACAAAAAAAACAGAAAAGAAAAGTCTCTCACAGTGGAGGGGAAACAGGGGAAGGTGAGAGGGAATGAGGAAATCTTATTCTCATAGGATTTGGCTTAAGGAGAGAATAACATACACATTCAATTGGGTATGGAAATCTGTCTTACCCTACAGGAAAATAGGGGGAGAAGGGGACAAGAGAGCAGGGGGGTGATAGAGAGGAGGGCAGATTGGGAAAGAGGGTAATCAGAAGCAAATACTTCTGAGGAGGGACAGGGTCAAAAGAAAGAATAGAATAAATGGGAGGGCAGGATAGGATTAAGGGAAATAGAGTTAGTTTTTCACAACATGTCTACTAAGGAAGTGTTTTGCATAACTGCACATGTACAACCTATATTGAGTTGCTTGCCTTTTCAATGAGGGTGGGTGGGGAGGGAGGAAGGGAGAAAATTTGGAACTCAAAGTTTTAAAAACACATGTTTTAAAAAAAATGTTTTCACATGCAACTGGGAAATAAGAAACACAGGAAATGGGGTACAGAAGTCTATCCTGCTCTACAGGAAAATAGAAGGGAAGGGATAAGAGAAGGGAGGGGGAGAGATAGAAGAGAAGGCAGACCAGGGAAGGGATATTCAGAATGCATGCCATCTTGGGGTGGGGGGAGGGGTGAAAAATTTGGAACTCAAAAACTTGTGGAAGTGAATATTGAAAACTAAAGATAAATAAATTTATGTTTTTCAAAAAATAAAAAATAAATATTTTTTTTTAAATAGCCTAACCAAATGGCAAAAGATGTCCAAAAAGCCAATGAGGAGAAAAATGCCTTAAAAAACAAAATTGGCCAAATCGAAAAGGAAGTCCAAAAGCTTACTGAAGAAAATACTTCCTTAAAAATTAGAATGCAGCAATTGGAAGCTAGTGACTTTATGAGAAATCAAGACACTGTAAAACAAAACCAAAAGAAAGAAAAAATAGAAAATAATGTGAAATATCTCAGTGGAAAAAGAACTGACCTGGGAAATAGATCCAGGAGAGATAATTTAAAAATTATTGGACTATCTGAAAGCCATGATCAAAAAATGAGCCTGGATATCATCTTTCAAGAAATTATCAAGGAAAACTGCCCTGACATTTTAGAACCAGAGTGAAAAATAGATATTGAAAGAATCCACCGATCACCTCCTGAAAGAGAAACCCAAAGGAAAACTCTTAGCAATATCATAGCCAAATTCCAGAGTTCCCAGGTCAAGGAGAAAATACTGCAAGCAGCCAGAAAGAAACAATTCAAGTATTGTGCAAAGTATTCTGAGATTTAGCTCCACCTATGATGTTTAGGATAAGAGATTCAGAGCTAAAAGGAAACTGAGAGCTCAGATAGTCAAAAACCTCATTTTACACATGGGGAAATTGATGACTTACCCCAGGTCACAGAATTCAGCATAACCGCATTTTAAGATGTTTAATTAATGTTTATTGTCATTGGAGGCCTACAGAATTGTGGAAAAGGAAGCAATCCAATTAGGACAAACTATCAAGAAGCATTTATCATGTACCTTCTATGTGCCAGGGAGTGTGCTAAGTGCTGAGGACACAAAGAAAGGCCTTACACACAGGAATGTGCTGGTAAATACTTGACAATGACAGTGGGCTTTGTAGGGGTAAGAAAAAAGTATGCACTTGCCTTCCAAAATTTACTCTGCATTATTAACATTTTCTAAAGTTTAGACAATCAACAAAGCAGTAAATGGAGCCCCGTTCTCTAGTTTCTGAAGTTTAAATGCTCACATTGAATATTTAAGTCATCTCTGTCTTCAACACAATCCTGCTCAAACAGCTCCATCATCCATATTTTACAGCATAATATAGCACTTGATGTTTATAACAGGGACACTGAGTCATGAAGAAAGGGTTAATTTATATTTGGCATACTCTATTTACTAAGGCTGGAAAATCTATCATATGGTAGAGAGCTTCATCTAAAATAACCAAAATGAAAGGCTCAATACTTAAAAGGGGATAATCTTTAGTTATCTAGAAAATTCACTTATGTAACTGACATATGCAATGCTTTAAGGATTACAAAATTTATGAATATTATCTCAGTTGATCCTCACAAAACCCTGTGAGGTAAGTGGTATTATTATCCTCATTTTACAAATGAGAAAAACTAAGAGAGGCTATGACTTCCCCAAGGCCACATAGCAGTAGGAGCTTAAGTACCCTTGACTTCAAGGGCAAAGCTCTGGCTGCCTCCTCACCTGGCAGCCTTGTCTGTGTAAAGCCCTGCTTCCCTATGGGGATGATTCATTCCATTCAGAAGCTATATTGGTATTAAAAGGAAATCAAATAATTGAAGCAACTATTGAAATAATGGAAGCAAACACAAATAGTGCTTGAATTCGCTATCCAGATATTTCAGAAAAATGATTTTTTAAAATTGTGTCCATTTTCTGCTTCATTTTGTATCAATAAATGACATACTAAGTGTCCATCAACAAGTTTTCATAAAGTATTTTAAAAATAACCATGTACAAATATTTTCATTGAAATGCTACAATATATATATATATATATATATATATATATATTTAAAGTAGGATTCCAGGGACCCAGCAAACAGACCCTTTAAGGATTAAAAGCTAAAAAGCCCCTCCAGAGACCTCTAGAGAGCCCTGGAGTAGGTTATAAGGGCATGGCAGGTTATAGTGCATATAGAACCAGGTCAGAGGTGGAGAACCTTCAGCCTTAAGGCCACATGTGGCCTTCTAAATCCTTAAGGCCTTTTGACTAAATCCAAATTGCAGGTTTCCTACCCTGAGCTAGATTAAAAAAAGTTTGGTTTAGTTACCAGAATTTGTACCTGCTAATCATCTGATGGTTATCTGATAAATGCCTGTCAGAAAGAGAAAATGTTGTGATTTCTTTTATTATGAAAGAGCCCCATTGTGTGCGTGTGTCTGCATCTTTTAGAAAATGTCCAAGAAGTTCAAAACTGCAAGACAAATTGCAGGACTTGATAGTCACGTGTGGTGAGTATCTAACCATCTACAAAATGTTACCATTTACTTGCTATCTTTTTCAAGTCTTTTATCTTATTTGGAGTTTGTTAGGGGTGTGTGCGTGCGTGTGTGTGTGTGTGTGTGTGTGTGTGTGTGTGTGTGTTCTGTAGGTAAAACCAATATTATCTTCTAACTTATAAAATATGAAGAGAATAGAAAGAAACACTTCAGAAAGTCTAAAAATATATTGCATAAGAAATCTGACTTCAGCTTGTGTCAACTTCCATAGCATTAATAAATTTTTAAAAAATCCACTGGCTAATATGAGTTAAAATGTTTATATTTGTTACACTAAGAAGGTCATATTTATCTGATGAGTTAAAGGACATTAAGTGGACTCCAACAGAATTCAAGAAGCACCCCTTCATTTTGTTGTCTTTTTTTAATTCTTCAGGATATTTTTATCTGTGAATGAACTCTAAAGTGTTTCGATTACAGGCATAAACTTGTGCTCTCTTAGCCAGATAATATGTTGATCTTCTTATACAAAGATGGCACTGCTGACCCATCATCAGCATATACTTTGAGTTGTTTTTTCCAGTTGTAATACATTTGTGTATATTTAGCCACACTTATTAGACAGCAGCTTTTTTTGCAACCAGAGTTAGAGATTTGTAAGACTCTTAGTCAGTGGCACAATCCACTTATGGGGGTATCTTGCCCATAACTTTGCTTTTATGAGTGTATGCTATAACCAATTGAGCTAGTTATGGATAGCTATAAGAAAAATTGGTCAGAAGAAGGTAGAATTAGTAAAGCTCAGTAAAGCTGGATACTTTGTGAGAAAATAAATTTTCTCCTCCCATCTTTCTCTTCCTTTTCTCTCTCTTTTTCCCCTTCTCTCCCTTCTCCTTCCTTCTTTTTCCTTTTCCTGTCCTTTTGAATTATGACAGTCGGCTAAAATTTGTTTTTCAGTTTAATACTCAGAACATGAAACATTGACTAAATTTAATAATTTTGATTAACATTAACACTTTCTTTATTTTCCATCTTGGGGTTGAATTTTCTAATCTATCTGCAGACTCCGTGGTTGTGAATCTTACCCAAGGCCAACCAGATATATCCCCTCCCATGTATGTTAAAGAAGAATTAGCAAAGGTAGCAGCAACCGATAAAATGAATCAGTATATACAGGGTTTTGTAAGTATATAAAAACATTTTAAGCAAGCTCACATGTTGGATGATCATACAGTAGGAAGTATATGTAAATAAAAGAATTTCATTGTAATGTTAGGGTCTAGGAACAAGGAACACAAATGTCCCCTTTATAAAATGTCCATGTTGTAGTAAGATATTCTGCAAAGTATGTGGGGCACTGGATTTGATGCACCATGAAATCAGAAAATTTATCATATATCCAGATACTTCTTAACTTTATTGTCAAAAGCTAGAGCTTTTATAGTTCTTCAATTGTTTATTATTTTTTTCTCTTTCATCATAGTGATAGCTTGTTGGAAGGGTTGCAGGTGTCAGCCACTATTGTCCATTTTTCTTTAGTGACAGACAGCTTAGATGTAGCGGAGATGGTCTAATGGAAAGAATATTTGGCCTGGGATTAAGATCACATGGGCCCAGGCTCAGGCTCTGCTTTTAACCATCCTTACAAGCCTTGGTTTCTTTGTCTCTGAGGCAGGAGTAATAATCCTTATGCCACCCGTATTGCTATCAGGCAAGAGCCTTCCAAACCTAATGTCTACTTTAATGTGAGTGTACAGTGTCCAGCCAGAGTGCTTGACTTAGAGTTAGGAGACCCAGGTTCCAACTGCACCTCAGGCACATTCTGTTGTTGTTTAGTCTTTCAGCTGTGTCTGAGTCTTCATGACCCCATGGACCACATCCCACCAACCCTCTCCATGGGGTTTTCTTGGCAAAGATACTGGAGTGGTTTGCCATTTCCTTCTCCAGTGGATAGGCAAACAGAGGTTAAATGGCTTGCCCAGGGTCACACAACTAGTAAATATCTGATGCCATTTTTTATTCAGGTCTTCCTGACTCCAGGCCCAGCACTCTATCCACTGAGCCACCTAGCTGCCTCCCAGGCATGTACTTGCAGGGTGATAATAGAGGAGTTATTTAACCTCTCAGATACTCAGTTTTATCCATAAAAGAAGGATAATGATCATTGCTCTAAATATCTCATAGCCAGATAGTAAACTGATATGTATAATATCACATTGGTGAAGTGGGAAAACTATTTCCCTTTTAAGGTAAAGATTGGCTTAAGAATAATAACCTCTGGTAATAGCAGCTTGATAAAAGTTGACTTTCTTTTTATTCTTTTTTGAAATTCACTTTGAACTTAAATACAAAAAGGGGGGAAAGCATTTCATTGGACACAGCATAACACAAAAAGAGGATTCAGTATGAAACTATGAATCTCCATTTCACAATTTACTTTTTTTTAAAAAGTTATAAAATAAGTACTGTGCATACTTCTATTTATTAATTCTTTCTCTGGAGATAAATAGCATCTTCCTTCATAGGTCCTCTGTAGTTGATTTGAGAATTTATAATACTCAAAATAACTTAGCCATTCACAGTTGTTCTTCAAATAATACTGCTGTTATTATTATTATTGTATACATTGTATAATAATATTGCTGTTTTGTATACATTGTATATTCTCTTGGTTCTATCATTTCACTCTTCACTATTTCATGCAAGTCTCTCCATGTTTTTCTAAAATAAACCAGCTCATCATTTCTTATGGCACAATAGTATTCCATCACAATCATATACCATAACTTGTTTAACCATTCCTCAATCGGTGGGCATCCCCTCAATTTCCAATTCTTTGCCACCACAAAGAAAATTGCTATAAATATTTTAGAATATATAGGTTCTTTTCCTTTTTCCCTGATCACCTTGGGAAACAGACCTAATAGTGGTATTGCTGGGCCAAAAGGTATACACAGTTTCATAACTCTTTGGGCTAATTCCAGGTTGCTCTCCAAAATGGTTGGATCAGTTCGCAGTTCCACCAACAGTGTATTAGTATCCCAGTTTTTCCCCTCCGACATTTGTCATTTTCCCCTTCTATTATTTTAGCCAGTCTAATAGGTATGAAATGATATCTCAAAGTTGTTTTAATTTGTACTTCTCTAATCAATAATGATTTAGAGCATTTTTTCATATGACTATATAGTTTTGATTTCTTCATCAAAAAAACTTTTTATATAGTTTTATTATTTATCAATTGTAGAATGACTCACATTCTTGTTGTAGAATGCCTTTCCAGGCTTATACAGTTTTAATGACAAAATATCTACCGCCTAATGATAAAATAGCTACCACTTTAGGAACTGGACATAGGTACACAGAGATATAGTATTTTTAGTTACACATTTTAATGGTTTTATAATATTCTTTAAAATATGAGTCATCTTGGCAGAAGTTCAAGCATTTAAACTGAAAGGAACAAAATGCTCATCTTTTAGAGTTTAATCATAAAATAAAATTTAAGATTTCTTTTCTTTGGTTTGTACAGGGTCATCCAGCACTGGTGGAAGCTTTATCTTCTCTGTGTGAAAAGATTTATAACAGACTGGTTGACCCAAATCATGAAACAACAGTGACAGTGGGAAGATATGGATCTCTTTTTAATGCCATACAAGGATTAGTTAATGAAGAAGAGGAAGTAAGTTTACTGAGGTGTTTGTTATATTAAATCTGTTAATGTAGCATAATTATCAAGTTAATTACTACCTTCTGTCCTGCTTTGGCATATTTTAAAGTTTATTTAAATGGAGAGAAAATTCATAAAAATCTCCCTTATTCTTGTATTCTACTACAGTAAACCCCAGAAATTACACAAAACAGGTACATAACTTGGTCCTTGCTGATTGATTGAATGAATGAATGATAACACAAGTAAGTCACTGCCTTCAGGGAGTTTACAATGAAGTTGGGTTTATAACAGCTTCCTTTGTAGTGTCAAAGAACTGGGAACTAAGGATTGTCCATCAACTGGGGAATTATGGTCTTTGAAAGTAACAAAATTTTAATGTGGCATAAAAAATGGTGAAAGACGTTGTTTTAAATAAACCTGGGAAGACTTGTATGAACTGATGAAGAGCAAAGTGAGCAAAACCAAGAGAACAGTTTAAATGATAGCAACAACATTGTAAAGAAAAACAACTTTGAAAGATCTGAGGACTCTGATCAATGATCTCATTGATCTGCCACCCATTATGGACATTTGAGTAAAATTAGAAAGTTTGGGAAAGCAGTAAAGCACAAGTGTAAATAATGTGGTGATGATGAAACAGATACCCATTGACCTAGTATCTGTAACCCAGTGCATGTTTAAGTGACTATCATGTGCAAGGCTCCAGGATTAAGATCTGGCCTTTGTGAGTTTAGAATTCCAGGATGGGAATTGGGGAGGGGGGAGGGATTGCAGAGAAGCAGAAGGGTCCTAGCCCACAGGTTACATCTGTAATGCTTCTCCACTGCCCCATCATCTAGTTTTCTCCCTAGAAGTCATGTTCACTCTTTCATAGTCCCGTTCCAGTCATGAATCCCATTCTACCAAGTCTATGATTCTTATGATAGCATTCGTATTAGGATCTCTACTTCCATATTTTGTGCATTTGTAGGCAGACATCTGAGTGTGTCTCCCTGACTTACCCGTCCTTGCTACTGATACTCATTTTTCTTTCTATGTCTCTTCCTCCATGTGCTCTACATCAGTGGTGTCAAACTCAAACATATATGGACCAACTGATTTAGAAAACCACAAATTAACATTATCTGCATTGCATGTTTGGCCTGCTGTGAACTGGACACCTCTGCTATACTGCAGCCAAACAGACTACATGCTACAGTGACCTCTCCACCCGCACCCCCAACCCGAATCCTTCCTCTTCAGAACGTAAGCTCTGGGAATGCAGGGGATGTTTCCTCTTTGGTCTCTAGCACAGTGGTATGTGCAAGGTTGGTACTCAATGACTAATAAATTCTTGCTCAATTGGACTGGCACAGGACGTAAGTGAAATAGTCACTATGCTCAAAGAGCTTACTTTGTTTTGTGCCGATGTGAAGAATGATTGGAAAAGAGGATAAGCGAACAACTTCATGGAGGAGTCAGCACCTCACCTGGGCCTGGAAGGAAAAGGACACAAGGAGGACAAGATCTGGAAGGGATGTGTTCCTTGTGTTCTTTGGGAGAAGGCAGGCAGGAGGAGATCAACAATGCCTGCAGGGACCGTCCCAGAGTGCTGCCCTTTTCAGGTGATCGTCATTGAGCCTTACTTTGATTGCCACAATCCCACGATAAAGATGGCAGGAGCAATTCCTGTCATTATCCCCTTACGCCATGTGAGTATGCTGACAAGGAGGCTATGAAATGAATGAATTGGGGGGGAGGGTCCGAAACACCGTTCCAAGGGATTCCGTGGTTATTCTGGACAAGGATAGTGTGAAAATGGTATTTCTGAGTTTGTCAACATCTCCTAATTAGTTATTGAATCTTTTCCATTGATTGTCAACAACTATACTAGAAAGCAACAATAGCAGCTCACATTTAAGGACCACTTTGTAGTTTATAAAGCTCTTTTCTCCCAATAACCTTGTGGCCCTTTAAGAATGGTGTGATTTTTAAGAATTTCTATCCAGCTAACTAATATATGAAAATAAAACACAAAATCTAGTATCTCAGAATTGGTGCTAAAGGGTTAACCTAGTTCAGGTAGATTCCCTGCAGAAGAATATATTCTAATGTAGACATATGGGATGTCTATACACTGATCTCTATATATCTAGCCCTCTAACAGTATATGAACAACTATGTACAGGCAAGATATTTACAGGTGATCAACAGAGGAAAGCACTACCATTAAGGGGGATTGGGAAAGGGTTCTTGCAGAAGGGAGCCAGGTGGCACAGAAGAAGAGGAAGTGAATTCCAGGCTTGGGGGACAGCCACTCACTTCATAGTTCAGCCACAACAAAGATATGATCATTCCTCTCCCCATATCCCTTTTACCCTTCCCCAAAGCATAATCCCACTACACTGCTGTGTCAGTCTCTGGGCAATAGAGGGGAATTAGGCTTACAGCCCAACTCAGTTCCTACCTAGCATTAGTCCCACCAAGTTCCTAGTCCAAAGCCCCTCTGGACTAGCTTCCTAGGATCCCGGCTTCTCAGGAGTTCCCTTCTGGGCAGGCTACAATATCTGACCTGGAATCCTAGGCTCCAAAGTCTCCATGGCTTGTATCTGGGACTCCATTCTCTGCCCCTAGAAATGAAAAAAAAAAACCAAGACCAAAACCCCAAGCCCATTTTGCCAGGCCACCTGGCCTCAAGGTAAGAGGAAGGAGGCCCTTAGTCTACAGAAATCAAGTTAGTATTCACTACTTTTTAGTTGGCTTATCACCAAAATATAAGCTGTTCCTTGGTTCCTCAGGATAGAATTTGCTGCGTCTCTACCTAGAGCTGGACTGTCTCCACTGATCAACTCTAACCAATTCCCATAATGCCACGGTCTCCAGAGCAGCAGAATACTTCATGTGGTCTTTCCACAGTGGTAGGTGCTTCCCAAGATAAGTAAAACAGTCCTATCTGTCAAGGGGTGACAAGGACACACATTCTGTGCCTATACCATGAGACGGATTAGATGTACTCTAAAAGATGTCAGTGTACTAGTGGTCCCAAGGAGGAGGAGCAGATGTTACTGATTGGGGGGAGACAGCAGAGACTTCATTAATGATGTGCTATTTGAGTTGAACTTTAAAGAATGGATGATATTTTGACAGAGTTACTGGAAGGGGACCCTCTCTAGGTTAAGGGATTTGTATGAGAAGCGATCTGGAGGTAAAAAAAAAACCAGGGATCGCTGAAACATTGGATACATGAAAGAGAATAGTGGGCACTAAGCCCAGAAAGAAAAGATGGTTTATACTGTAATAGAAAATATTATTTCTTACCTAATCTTCTCTTAGCAGCCACTCTGTGAAGTAGGTATGGCAGAAGATTTAAGTGATTAATGCACCAACTTAACCAAAGTTACAGATGATGGCTGAAATCTAGATCTCCTCATTCTTATCCTTGTGCTCTGATTATCAAACCATGCTACTCTCTGCATGCATAGGGTTTCTACACTTCTGAGACCTTGACTTTGGCTTTAAGGAGGGTTATCAGGGTCTTTGGGGAGAAGGAGCATCAGTGCTGTTATATGGCACAGGCTCCTGTCACCAACTAGGGAACACCCTTTTTCTACCAGCTTGGTAGATAACTGGTGCTACTGGCATGGCCTTTATAAAGGAGAAGAGTAAGAATAAAAGCTGAGTAGTGCAGACTGACTCATCAAAGATGTTACCAAAAAAAAAATGTTACATAGGCCCCCTGCTTCAAACTAATGAGCTAAATAATATTTTTGTGAATCTTAGGATTTCAGAAGACTTCAGTTCTAAGTTCTAGATACAATATTTATAACCTAAACCATGTGGGCTGAGGTGCAAAATTCTTTTGACCTGTATGAGGTCCTCTGGCCTTGGGAGACCTGGAACTACAAGACTGACCTGCCAGGCCAGATAAGCCCTGATTAGAACCCTAACACTTTGTCTGGGACTGAACCTACCTCAGGAATGCAGCAAGTTGAATGGGTTTTTGACCTGTATTTACTTAAGGAAGTATTTTCCTGAATGAGTAGTTTGTGATGCAACATGAGAATTTTATCGTAAGTGACTGCTTGAAGTATATGCAGGCTTGAATCTTTCCACAGTAGGAAGTTAGAGAAATATAGTCATTTGAAATCACTTTTAAGATTTTAAAGGGGGAAGAAGAGTAGCTAATGAACCAAAAGCATTTTATGCCCAACATAAAATATATCTACATGATAATGGCTCTGCTCAAAGCTCCAGAGTCTGAGTTAACTTCGTTTAGGGATGTTCTTCCAACAGGTCATTTTAAACGACCATGAAATTTATTGTTTAAAACTACAAACTATAAACCCTTCAGAGTAAAAATGTAACTAATAAAATAGCTTTACCAAAGAGAAGCAAGACATCTTTTTAAACTCAGCTTTTTAGTTTTTATCACAATCTATAAAAATAAAACAAGGGAAAAAACGAGGCCACTATTTCACTATTTAGAGAGGGCCATTCACTTCCATTAAACTTTACCTTTTCCATGAAATGCAGTGACATTTGTTTCAGGAAAGATGCACAACGGTTATTATATCAATTTGCAGAATGTAGTGGTGGTTCTTTAACATAATATAATAAGGGTTTCCAACCATACATCAGGAAATTAGTAACGTGTTTATGTTGTCCCATAGGCAGTTTTCCCTAGAGTGGGGCTCTCTATCATGTCTCTAACACTTATCTGACTTATAAAAGTATGAGCTACCTATGAGTAACAGAGCTGCCTTAGCTGATTTAAAGAACATGAACACAGATTGTAACTGAGGATTCTTGTAGCAACGCCAGTGACTCATGTGATTATCTGTAACCTCATTTGAGCACTTTCACTAATCCTTAGACCTATAGCACTGAGACAGCAAAACAAGTAACAATAGTCAGTGCTGGGATCATACTTTAACAGTTAAAGGACATAGCCTTTAGAGGAATTGATCAATTACACATGGAAAGTGACATGTAATCACACTCAGAGTTTTCACCAATTATTTTTTGAGAGATTTACTTTGTAGGGAGTTTTGAGTATTTACTGGGAAATATCTGTTATACCCAAGCAAAATGTTTCAAGCTTTGATGTGGTTTTTATTTTTTTGAGAAAAGAAAATAATCATAGGAATTTACCAGTTACCATAAATATTTATTGGAACCACATACACTGTTATCTCCTTTCCTGCTAATGCATCCTTACTTAGTACTGCTCCCTCTTCCCTAGTCAGACCATAGGCCCATACCATGAGAAGTAAATTAAAGTTTGAGAGTATTCAGGGAAGGGTCACCATAATGGTGAAAGACCTTGAGATCATACCATAAGAAAATCATATGAAGGAACTGGAGATGTTTAGCCTAGAAAAGAAAGGACTTGGGGGGAGAGGGGTGGAACGTGAAACTGTCTTCAAGTATTTTAATAGCTGACTAAGGAAGAGAGTTTAAACTTGTTCTTCTTGGCCCCAGAGGGCAGAACTAAAAGCAAGCAGGTGGTTGTAAAAGAGCAAATTGGGGGTTGATGTAAGAAAGAACTCTCCGGCAATGAAAGCTATCCAAAGGTGAAACGAGCTACCTTGACAGACAGTAGCTTCTCATTTCCAGAAGTCTTCAGTCAAAGGCTAGACAACAACTTGTATGGTATGCCATAGAGAGGATACTTGTTCAGATATTGGTAGGATTTGATGGTCTCTGAGGTTCCTTTCAACTCTTGAGATGACATGATTTCACAAAGTCCAATGCTACTTCAACATGATGGCCTTTTCAAAATCCTTTGTGTAGCATCACTTAATTGAGAAAAAATTTACACCAAAGACAATTAAAAGTATATTAGGCTGGTATAGAATTTTGGTATCTTCAACATTGTAATCTTTTAGTAAGTATTTTGGCTACACTTATGTAATCCAAAATGACTTTTAGTTTAAAATGACATGATTTAGTATCAGAATACAGAAAATGTAAATTCATTAGAGATTAACAACTTCATGTTTTTCCCCGTATACAGCTACTTTGCCGGGTATGTGGGAAAGAGCAATAACAATAGGCAGTGCTAGAAAAACATTCAGTGTGACTGGCTGAAAGGTAGGATGAATGAAAGCATGTTGTAGATGGAAACAGACACACGTTTTTGTTTGCAGTGTTTTTAAGTTTCTATGTTTAATTTGAAGATTTATTCTTTGATTTACAGAATATATACATAGTTGGGTTTTTTATTCTCATAATACTCAGACATGTTGATCTTTATTCTAGAGATAGCACACCATAGTCTTGCTTCTGCCACTAATACGCTATGTGACAGTCTTTCTAGGCTTCAGTTTCTTCATCTCAAAAATGAGGAGGTTGAATCTTTAAATCCCTCTCCAGCTCTAAAATTCAATACTGTTGTGACCTATTATCAATTTTCACAACATCTTTAGAAAATGAAAAGAATTTCTATCTGTGTAACCCTGGGCAAGGCACTTAACCCCAATTGCCTCACCAAAAAAAAAAAAAAAAGAAAAAAGAAAAGAAAAGGAAAAAAAAGAATTTGGTGAGGTTCTTTTTAAAAATAAAATAAACAGAAGAGTGTAATTCATGAAGATTTCATAACTCTAAAAAGAAAAAAGGTGATTGTTTATTACAGTAAATAACTCATCTCAAAGTCTGACGACTCTGCACAACTCTGCCTTACTTAAATCCAATTCACACACAAGTCAAGACATCACCCTGTGATGTCGTGATCCTCTTTAAAAACTTTCAGAGATGAATAACAATGTCATCTCACCAGAACCTAGCTATCAGGCAACTTTGCCTATCAGATTATAAGAAATAAACTGAAATGGCATCTGAGCTCTGTCACATTCTAGGGCTTGTTGCCATCAAGACGATGTCATCCACAAGTAAAAGTATCTGCCAAGGACATCCTGCATGGCAGTGACTAACACTCTATTTTGGCACATCAATTCTTTTATAATCTACAAATAATAAACACAGCAGGACCTTATTTCAGTCAGTTGTATGACTGTCAAGATGTATTCTTTGGTAAAAGAAGGCTTGGAAAAGCCTTCTTGTTCTCTTCTCCTTTTCACCAAGAATACCCTTGACATATGTCAACTGTTATCATGAAGGTTTTACAGAGAAGAGAAAGTAATATATGGGTTAATGGCTATTGATTTCTTTGGGGAGAGAAAATAATATAATCAATGATTTTTCCCACTATTCAGTATCATCTTTGCCTTCCAATATCTTGAAAATTGATCCCTGAATTCCTTTAAAATTGGGTTGCATCCATCTCAGATTTCTTTTTTTTTACATCTCAATTTATTATTTATTTATTTATGATACTTTTTAAATTTTGAGCTCCAAATTCTCTCCCTGTCTCCTACCCCATGTCCCTACCCACAGAGAAGGCACAAATTATGACATCAAGTATGCATGTGAAATCATGCAGTACATATTTCCATATTAGCCATGTTTTTAAAAAGTAGAAAACAATAAAGAAAGCAGGAAAATTAAACTTTAATTTGTACTTTTCAGAGTTAATCAGTTCTCTCTCTGGAAGTGGGTACCATTTTTTCATCATGAGTCCTTTGGTATTGTCTTGGATCATTGTATTGATCAGAGTAGTCAAGTCTTTCACAGTTGATCATTACAACATTGCTGTTACTATGCATAATAATCTCCCATTTCTTCTCATTTCATTTTGCATCAGTTCATATAGGTCTTGCCATGATTTCTGAAACTACTCCCTTCATCATTTCTTATAGCACAACAGTACTTCCTCACTTATCATATGCTACAACTTGTTCATCCGTTCCCCAATTGATGAACATCCCTTTAATTTCCAATTCTTTGCCACCACAAAAAGAACTGCTATAAATATTTTTGTACACATAGGTCCATTTCCCTTTTTGTTCTCTTTAGGATACAAACCCAGCAGTTGTATTTCTAGGTCAAAGGGCATGCATAGTTCTACAGCCCTTCAGGCATAGTTCCAAATTATTCTCCAGAATGGTTGGACCAGCTCACTACTCCAACAGTAAGTAGTTCATTAGTGTACCTGATAGGTGTGAAGTAGTACCCCAGAATTGCTCTAATTTGCATTTCTCCAATCAATAGTGAGTTAGAGCCTTTTTGCATATTACTACAGCTTTGATGTATTCTGAAAACTGCCTGTTAAAATCCTTTGCCCATTTATCAATTGGGGAATGGTTCTTATTTTTATGAACTTGATTCAGTTCTATACGCAGTATATATTTGAGAAATGAAACCTTTATCAGAGAAATTTGCTGTAAAAAATGTTCATATCATTTCATTGTCTATGGTACCTTTTAGCATTGTGTAGTTTTCCCTGGCTTTCTCTTTTAATTAGGTCTATATTTTCTTTTGCTTTGTATGGGATCATGATTGCTACCCCTGTCTTTTTTACTTCAACTGAAGCAAATTAGATTCTGCTCTAGCCCTTTATTTTAACCCTATGTGTGTCCTTTTTTCAAGGGTGACTATCGTAAACAACATATTGTTGGATGCTGGTTTCTAATCCATTGTGCTGTCTGCTTCCATCTTATGGGTGAGTTCATCCCTTTCACATCCACAATTATGATTACAAATATGTACTTCCCTCCATCCGATTTTATTCTGTTTCTTCCTTTCTCTCACTCTTTTTATCTTGTTCTTCCTCAAAAGTCCATGTAGCTTCAAACCACTGCCTCCCTTAATCCACCCTCCCTTTTATCATTCTCCTCTCTCCTGTCTTTGTTTTATCTCCTTCCCCTCCAATTTCCGTATCAATAAGTTACATTTCTATACACAACTGAGTATGTTTATATAGTCCTCCCTCTTTGAACTAATTCTGATGACAGGGAGATTCAAGCATCACTTGCCACCTTCCCCTGCCATTTCCCCTTCCATTGTAAAAGTTTTCCTTTTGCACCTCTTTTGTGTGAGAAAATTTTCCCCAGTTTACCTCTCCCTTCCCCCTTCTCCTGGTGCTTCCTTTTCTTGTCTTTTCATTTTTTTTTGAGATCATTCCAACATGATCAACTCATACTCATGTTCTCTGTGTAAACTCTTTTTAAGCGTCCTAATAATGATGAAGTTTTTAGAAGTTACATATATCATTTTCCCATATAAGAATGTAAATAGCTTAACTTTATTGAATCCCTTATCATTATTATTTTTCCATCTTTACTTTTTTATGCTTCTCTTGAGTCTTGTGTTTGAATGTCAAATTTTCTATTCATCTCTTGTCTTTTCATCAGAAATGCTTGAAAATCCTTAATTTCATTAAATATCTATTTTTCCCTCAAAGGATTACACTCAATTTGGTTGGGTAAGTGATTCTTAGTTGTAATCCTAGCTCTTTTGCCTTCTGGAAGATCATATTACAAGCCTTCAGCTCCTTTAATGTGGTAGCCACTAAATTTTGTATAATACTGACTGTGGCCCCATGATATTTAAATTGTTTCTTTCTGGCTATTTAAAATATTTTCTCTTTGACTTGGGACCTCTAGAATTTGGCTTAATATTCCTGGGAGTTTTCATTTTAGGATCTCATTCAAGGGGTGATCAGTGGATTCTTTTGATTTCTGTTTAACCCTCTGGATCTGAGATATCAGGGTAGTTTTCCTTGATAATAATTTATTGAAAGGTGACGTCTAGGCTCTTTCTTCGATCATGACTTTCAGGCAGACCAATAATTCTTAAGTTATCTCTCCTCAATTTATTTTCTAGGGTAGTTGTATTTCCAATGAGATGTTTAACATGTTCTATTTTTTCATCCTTTTGATTTTGTTTTATTGTTTCTTGATGTCTCATGGAGTCATTAGCTTTTACTTGCCTAATTCTAATTTTTAAGAAATTATTATCTTCAGTGAGCTTTTGTACTTCTTTTTCCATTTGTCCAATTCTGTTTTTTAAGGAGTTCTTTTCTTCAGTGGATTTTTGTGCCTTGTTCACCATTAGGCCAATTCTGCTTTTTAAGGTATTATTTTCTTCATGTTTTTTGTGCCTTTTTAAAAATTATTTTTATTTTTTAAAAAATCACATTTTATTGTTACAAAGTGAATGGCTTGTATTGTAGCCTTGGCTTCTTAGGGTTCAGTGTGTGACTATAAGGAATGGGTGCACATTTCCTGGTTTGGAAAAAGGATGTATTTGGAAAATTGGCTGGAAGGCCCATTTACATTTTCTTTTTTTTTTCTTTTTTTGTGCTAGGCAATGGGGTTAAGTGACTTGCCCAGGGTCACACAGCTAGTAAGTGTTATGTGTCTGAGGCCAGATTTGAACTCAGGTCCTCCTGACTCCAAGACTGGAGCTCTATCCACTATGCCACCTAGCTGCCCTATTTTAGTGTTTTTTGTTTTTTTGTTTGTTTGTTTTTAGGCAATTGGGGTTAAGTGACTTGCCCAGCGTCACATAGCTAGTAAGTGTCAAATATTTGGTCTGAGGCCGGATTTGAACTCAGGTACTCCTGACTTTGGGGCCAGTGCTCTATCCACTGCGCCACCTAGCTGCCCCCCATTCACATTTTCTTGACGGGCTGGCCAGATGCTGTGAAGGAGGCATGGCAAGCCTGTGCCAACCCCCCAATTAGATTCAGGAATTCTTGAAAGTCTAACTGCCATCACAGTTGAGGTCCAGTTTCTTCATCATTTGGTCCAGAACACTGGGGTCCTGGTTCTGTGTGAAGAAGCCAGCTCTGCATTCATGAAGGCCAGGAACTCAGTCTTGGAGAGGGTGTTTAGGCAGTTATCTCTCAGTCAAGTATACTTCTGGAAAACAACTATCATGGACTCAATGCTTCTCTCTGTTTCAGTGGGGGTGTTTTTTTGCCCATTGTTGAGGGAAGAGGAGAATCTGGAAGTGGAGCCTCTCTAAGGAACAGTGTCAGAGAGCAAGCAAATGCTACAAGCAACAGATTTGTGGGGTTCAGAACTTATCTCTGCTGTGCCTTTTTTTTTAAACCAAGCTGTTAATTCTCTTTTCTTAATTTTCTTGCATCACTTTCATTTCTTTTCCTAATTCTTCTACCACTCTTATCTCTTTCTTTAATTCTTCCAGGAATTCTTGTTTGGTTTAGGTCCAATTAGCATCATTCTTTG